AAGAGAAATTAGTAAAAGCAATAACATTAAGAATTCAATAAGAAATTGAATATTAATAAAATCTAATCTCTAGTGATCTGGAAAAAATAGTTAAAATAGAGATGGACTCCTAAATAGCTAAATTTGATGCAAGAATTATGGCTCAAAGATCTACTCAATTAGAAACTTGTTCAAAAAAAAAAGAATAGTCTTTTCAATCTTTTAACTTGGGCTGGGGATGTAGCTCAATGGCACCATGCCTGCCTGGCAAGGGCAAAGTCCTGAGTTCAATCCCCGGTACCAAGAAAAATAAAATTAAAAATAAATAAATCTTTTAACATAATCTTCTTTAATAGTTCCAAGTGATCAGGAAAATGGGGAAAAGCTCTAAATTTAATACACTGGAATTTTTCACTCTATAAATAAATTCACATAGTGAATTAAAAAAAAAAGAAACTTGTTCGTGTGGCCACATACAAGAGCTGATAAAAATTACAGTGTGTGTCTAAATACAGTGGACCCTCAAGTTAAGATCAGTCTGGCATACAAGCAACTTGGGTTAATTAGATTAATGGAAGATTCATCTGCCCTTTGTTGTTGATAGCGTGTACCCAGGTAAACATCCAGATCTCAGCTGTATTGACTTACAGCCAACTTGACTTACAACCAACCCTTGGGAACTGATCAAGTTCCTTAAGTCAAAGGTCCACTGTATTTTTAAAAAAGATTAGTAAAAGACACTTAGGAGATTAATATCTCCATCAAAATGCCCCCCTTCTCTTTGAATACATTTGCGCTATGGTTTTTGCCACTTTCTGAAGCACAAAGAGCCCCCCAGGCATTGTCCAAGCTCCCAGAGGCATTTGCACGCAAATATCCAGGGCTGTCTCTCTGAGACTGTCCTCTCTGCATTTTCCCTTTGGGCCTAGCTGCCTTGGTCATCCTTAACTATAATTTCTTACTGTGGTCTTGGCTGTACTTTCATGGATGAAGGCTCTTGTGGCACCCCCGGGGAGCAAATATGGATGAATCTGGGGCTAATTCAAGTACAATCAAGATTTGAAGCCTTGCCTTGGTTGTTTACTAATGCTTCCAAACAGCTATTATGTATATTTTGGTTTTTTTAAACAGTTGTTCTCAGTAAGCAGGGAAGTCTAATCACGGTTAAAGCAAAACTTATCTATGCTAACAACTAACTAAATAAACAATAATGATAAAATAACTACTCAAGGCAAGGAATAAGGAGAGAGATGTAATATCTTGCCACAGAATTTCAAAACAGATCTTTAGAAACAGAAGATCGGGGTACAGAGAGCCCTGGCTTTCCAGAAGCAGCATTGATGACTCATCACAGCCTGCATATTCTCTCTTTCATCAGTTGAAACCTCCAAACCTGAAGTAAGAGGAGCTGCGGAGCTGTCATTCCCTTTCTCTGATGGGAGGAAGGGAATGAATGGTCATAGTTGAAGCAGCAAAGGAGAGGGAGTAGGGGGTTCCAAGAATGAATGGAGAAAGCAATCTCAAACCCGAGAAAAACATTTCTTTGTGTCTTTCTCACAAAAACTGATGCTGAATGCCCGCACTAAATCCTAGGCAGGGTTTTTAGTACAGCCTCCCAAGAAAAGCAGAGCACAAAACTTCTAACAGCCTACACAGATTCTCAAATGACCCCTCCTTTATCTTTTCTCTTCTCATCCCAGGACAGTAGGCAGAAAGCAGTGCTCACATTCAAACCATTTCTTCATAGAGAAGGCAAACAGGTCTCAGATAAAATAGGACTGGAGCCAAGTAGAATTCATTTATTATGCATCATACTAAATATGATGTCTGGTTTTAAAAGAAATAACATAATGAATAAGAAAATATGCTATGCAAGAAAAAAGGAGGGAAGGATCATTGTAAGTAAAAATAGACTAATACCAAAATAAATTAAAACCAACAAGAAAAGAAAAGACAGGTATTCTCAATTATACAACAGGCCAGCTGCAGGGCTTCCTTGGAAATGCTACTTAATGAAGAAATCAAAGGATGAATCATAATAAAGAACCAGTAATACAAGAACCATGGCAAAAGATTTAATTAAATGAACTTCCATTTAAATGTAGAACTAAATTTACATTGAGAATAAAAGTTACCAGTAAAATGCAAATGTTATAAATCTTGACAATAAGCAAATAATACTTAAGTAAAAATATAGAGGTGGGAAGGAAAAATGAGAAGTATAATAAGAGAGTTCATTTCCTCTTCTTTCAAATAGCAATAATCCATTTGATATTGAATAAAGCAAACGTATGTTTAAGCATAATGAATTCAGATCTGGTTTCATGTAATAATTTTGACTTTAGAGGAATCATTAGGATGAAATATCTCATAAAGTGAGTAAACATCTAAAGTCCATCCATTTTTTTTAAGGTTCACTTTGATTTCTCAATCTTCTGCTTAATTAAGTGTATTTTTAAATTAAAATGACATTTACAATATGATAGCACTAGCATATCTGTATGGCATTTCATATATCTGCTAATATGTCTCTGTTCTATGATGCCTGAGATGCAGTGTTATCTCTTATGGTAATGATGGTTATTTCTGGATAGTGTGATTTTAAGGCAGTTTTCTAGTTCTTTGCATTTCTTCTACTGTTTAAATTATTTACAATGAATATGATTAACAGCTACCCATACACACAAAAACACACACCTTCACAATTTTAGTTTTTAATATGCTTTGGCTCATCTACTAGTTTTGTGTTAGAAGTTTTATCTTAAGCCTGAATCCTTGGAGTGTGATTCAACTTCTCCCCAGAATTCTGTCCAATGGGCATATATTGTGGAATCAGAAGTGCAAAGTGTCCTTTGCCCTTGCTATTGAGCCATGAAGAAGGTAACATAAGGGAGAGTGGTCCCTTTTGCTGCTTTTGAGAGAAGAGGGCTGGCATTCCTCTTATGTGGGCTAACCAGGAAAGTAGAGAGAAACAGCTTCCCTAGCTATATAAGATCCCTAAGACCTGTTCCTTATTGAAGAGGTGACTTGTTATTCCCTCTTCAATAATATCTGTTTGATAAGAATGATAAAATGGGAATTCCAATTTAAAACACAATGTATAAGTACTATGTATATAGATATATTCTGTATATATAGATATATACTATTTACACTTTTTAAATCATCTGTGTACACAGATATAACATGCTACATTGATAGTATACATAGTGTGTATATATGTATATGTCATATATTCATAGATATTTTATTAAATCTTACCCTGAATACAAGACTTGATGGAAGAGGGGAAGAAGGTCAATTGGAATTTTAAACACATTAATGCCACAAAATTCGGTATGCTTTGGAATTCTGTAAAATTCTACACAATCTACCTGGGCCATTGTTTTCCCATTCTAGGCTTCAAAGATCTTTGGTGTACTGAGATGCTGAAATCTCTATCCTTTCCTTTTCTTGAACTTCAGATCCCTCTGTTTAATTCCTTATTGTCCCAAATCCAGCATGTAAGCAACCAAAATATATCCGGCATGACTTCTCCTTTCTCTTAATTTGTTCCACAGCTATTTTTTTTTAATAGCTGCTATACGCCAGGCATTAAAGTAGATGCTGAGGGTATGGAGATACAAATGGGAGGTTCCCAGCTTCTGAATGTTCAAGGTACAGCAGACCCCTTGACCTTTGAACTCTCGTTCCCAAGGGCTGGTTGTAACTCAAGTCGGTCAAGTCGGAGAAGGCTCAGGCTCCTCTACACAGCCTGCAAAGTCTCTCTCCTGTATATGGGCAGATCTCAGCGTCCTTAGAGAGGCATTAGCTCAGGATTTCTCAATTAACCCCACACAGGAAAGGATGCTGTCGTGTACTTTCCAGAACTCTTTAAGGGTTAAATCTGTATCTGAGACCATCTGGAAGCACCAGTGGCCGGCATTCAGGTGGTAACTCGAGACTTTGGTCATAATCCAAGCTGTTCATATGTCAGGTCGGCCATAACTGGAGAGTCCACTGATGCAGTGGAAAAGTGAGAGGAATGAAACGCAGTGACAGGCCACAGGTGCTGGAAGACATGGAAGGGGCACGTGATTCAGGTGTGTGTTAGAGGAAGGACTTTATTGGAAAACCTTAGGGAACTCGTACTCCTGCCAGCAGATCCAGCTACTTTACTCTGCCTGGCTCACAATTGGCAGCTGCAGTGGGTTTCCCACTCAGCGCCAGCCAGGAAACTGCCTCCGTTGTTACCTCCCTCCATCAGCGACTTTCTGCAGGTTGTCGTTAGCCCTGGGCCCCTTGCTATCTTGGTAAGAATGCCCACATTTGAAATTTACCCCCCTCCCCATATTCAAAGGCTTTTCCTGTTCCTTCGCTTATAAATTTCACTGTCTGTGAGAAATCATATAACCTCTCTAAAACTCACTTTCTCATCTGGGAAAGGCTAGGAATTATAATACTAGGGCTCACCTCGAGGAAGGTGTAGGTATCAAATGAGGGAGATGTAACAGAGGGTCTAGCGTAGCTCGCACGTTAAATACCTTTGTTGGGCCCTGAGCATGGTAGTGTACACCTCCAAGGAAAAGCTCATAAATGCTGGTAAGAGGTACATGAGCCTTGTGGGGCTCTCTCAAATACACAAATATGAATTTGAGTTGAATTCAGTATTTATGTTTTTCTGGGCATCTTTCAGCTTGCAGTCCAGCCTGGATTTTCTTCTAACCGCGTACTAGTCTTGGACTAGTTTTGTTTTGCTTTTTTTTCAAACCTGCAGTTTCCTCTTGGGTAACACGGGGATAATTAAATGTATTTCCAAGGGATGTTGAAGGGATCCTGTGAAGTCAGGAATAAAAAACACCAACACCACTCAGCGATGCTTTCAAACGCAAGGTTTTAATCAAGGAAAGTCGGTTTCTGCCGGAGCCCGCAGGCTGGGAACCGAGCAGCGAGAGAGGAGCCAGCTCGGGAGGGCTCGCCGGCCCGGGAGCCGGCCCGGGAGCCCGCCCGGCCCAGGAGGGGGCGCCAAAGCGCCTCACTGCGGCGCCCTGGCTGCGGAGCGGTGGCCTGGCCGCGGAGCTCGCGCCTGCCGCAGTCCGTCAGTCCCGGCGGGCAGCGCTCCGGAGCAGACCCCGCCTGCCCACCGCCCTCGCCGCCGCTGCGGCTCCCTCCCGCGATCGCAGCCCGGTGGTCCGGAGACAACCGCTGCAGCCTGGGCCGGAGCCGGGGCAGGGCTTGGCCTTCCGGGGGGCGCACTGCGAACTTGCGGAGGACAGGCGCCCACAGGTGAGCGTCGCGCACGTGTCCAGGTGGCCGTCTCGGGGACTCCGTGCAGAGCAGTTGCAAATCCCTGCGCTCTCAGCCTCAGAGAGGTCAGTCCTGGTGGTCACTGGGTCCCCCAGGGTGAATTGGGGCAGAGAGAGAGAGCGAGAGAGCGAGAGAGAGAGAGAGAGAGAGAGAGAGAGAGAGAGAGAGAGAGAGGTGGACGCCGGCCCCCAGCGCCCTCGGGCCGACCCCCAGGATGCCTTTCGGCCTGAGGCTGTGTTCACCCCCTGCAGCCCCATCTGGCTTGTTTGCCGTGGCACGGTACCTGTTGATTTCAGACCAGCGCGATGTCCAAGGCGTTTGTTAAATTATCCTCTGCCGGGGCTGCTGGTGGTGATGAGATTAGGGAGAATTCCTAGCTGGGAATAGAACCAGGAAAACTCGATTCCAGAACCAGAGAAAGGCTGGCCCAGAGAGGAAAAAGGGTCTTATTCCCACGGCCAGCTGCTCTTTATTTTGATGAGAACATAAAAACAGAAGTCAGAAAAGATGATTCTAAAGATGATTTCTTCCCTCCCAGAAAGTAGAAAGCGGAACCTTGATAAGTAGTCTTGGGGACGATTGATTTATTAGGGTTGAAAACTGTTTACAAAGAACACAGGTCTAACAGTCGAAGTATACACAGTACTAGTATCTGTGGAATGAATGTATGTATTAATAATAATACAAAAATTGGAGCATTTTTCTTCGTTCTAAATTTTCCTTTCAGTACTTTATTTTTAGAAAAAAACACCCACTATACATTTATTCTCCTAAATATTCAGATGTGAGTTTACTTTCAGGAGTGATAGGAATTGAGAAGTTTTTGTCCCTGGTGAAGTGCTCTCCACATAATAAATGAATGGCAACTTCTAGCCACAATAAGAATATTTCTACACCCTGAGACAAATGTGTTTTCTTATACCCATTTTATGGAAGGTCTTAGATTATGAATTATTTGGAACATCAGAAACTTGACCGTAGGTTACTTATTATAACAACTTATATATTTGTCTTCTTTTCCATCTTGTCAGTTTTAACTTTCCATATCTCCACATGAAAAATAAAATTTTGATGAATCTATATCAGTTTTGTGTCTTCTTTTAAATGATTTTTCTAAACATAAGTATGTTTATTAAGTTACAAATGGAAAAACTAAGCCATATAATTTCTCTTTCCTATATGAAATTCCTATGCATCCAAGAGTCACAGTTTGGGAGTTTATTGATATATATTGACTTGTTTTTAAAAATCACATTTGATGGTTACTTTCATGCAGCATTTATCAAGGAAATAATTATTTAGATTTTGAATACACTGGGATGAACAGTTTTGGATGAAACAGTAAATTGTTATTTATATAAACTCCAACGCCTGTATGTTTTATGTTTCAAGGATGCTAGCCAGCAAGTATTCTCATCTGGACTTTATATAAAGTTTATGAAGTTAATATATCTCAGTGTATTATGCTTCTATGATGAAGTACTGAACCTATACCATAGGAAGCTTTTTTAAATGAATGCATATAAAATGGCAAAGAAAGAAAGAAATCCTTTTATCTTTAGCCAAAAGTATGGGACTGGACAAATTGCAGATGTTTACACTTTGGGTTTTCTGTACTATTAATGATCACTAAAAAGTTTTTCATTTGGAGATGAAGTAAACAATAGCTAAGTTAATGTTGACCTTTTCTTCTTTCAGAGGAAGTTCTGGAACTCTGGAAATCAGCAAATACAAAGTTTGTTAGGGACAAGTTGATGACTTAAATGCAAAAAGAAAAAAATGCATAGTGCTATCTCTGTAGACATACTTTGTCAGAAGGAATTTTCACTTGATCTCTTCTTAAAAATCTGCAGAATAAGAAATGCTCATAGGAGCAGTTAACATGTTTAGATAACAGATTGGTGTTTCAAAAATATTATTACAGACTGCATAAGTGTGAATCATGAGAACTGATATGATTAAGTTTAATGCTGGTAAAAGTGAATCTTGCATTTATCACTGAAGCGTTGATTACAGGAGCTGTGAGTGTAGGAGCAGGCAGTCCACATGAAGGATAAGAGCTTCCTGTGAGCGGTTGAGACAGTACCACCGCAGTGTGCGGATAACATCTCAGAGAACTTCTGCTGTGGCAGTTGGTCTGGTCACAAGCAGTGTGTGTGGACATCAGGTTTTTGGAGTCGTTAAAGCAAGGGGTCCCAGAGGGGAGTGGTGCCCATGGTGAAAGGGAAAGGTAAGAATCAAAAAACATAAACAAAACTGAGCCCATGGTGTTTATCCTGTGGAGAGTGAACGGACATGCTGGAAAGCAGAAATGTAGGATGGGGTGAAGGGTCATAATAGATGTGAGCCTACATGATGGGTTCAGAGAGAAAGAAATAGTTGACTTGTTTTGAGTTATTTCATTGAAAAGACCCAGGACACATGAGCAGAAATCATTGGGAGACGGATCAGAGCTCAGCATAAGAAAACAGTTCTCCTAATCAGAAGAGGTTGACTAGAAAGAAAACAGCGTTCAGAGGCAACGAACCCATCTCCTGTATCTAGGAGTAGTAAATCAGGCGCAAGATGATCTTTTGGGCCCGAGGAAAGCTTCTTGCATGGCTGGAGGATTCCTTTGGTTAATCCTCCCAGGGCTTTTTCCAAGTTTACTTTTCCTTGATATTAAGAACCTAGGTTTCATTCCTAAAGCACCAACATAAAACGTGTTTACATTGTATATAATGTCATGTTCCAAGTGTTAGCACAATATTATAAAGTAACTTATGCGAAGTTATCATAAAAATAAATCAGAACTTAAAGCATGATATTTATCTTCTTTTTGTTCCAGGGCAGTGTGCACCAAAAAATACATAAATATGATCCGGATTTTATGTATCAATTCCAAGAATGTGTGCATCTGTTACATAACTTGATCATGTGATCTAGTATGAATTAAGATCCAGTTTAACCTTGAAATACAAAATTGAGCTGTATGGCAGTGGAGTTGATTAATATGAATGTACATTATTCATTCTAAAAGAAATAGAGCAGCCCAATGTATGCGTATATTCACATACTTCAAGTATTTATTATCAATTAATGCCAAGAAACGATCCCTTCATAAAAAAATTTTTGAGGAAGTACTTTAGAAAATGATATTGTGTGAACATGCACATAATTTAGAATCAAACATCTAAATTCTTAAATCCTGGATCTTCCATTCATTAATTAGTTTACAGTAAATTACTATGGTTCTCTCACAGGAGGGTGCAGGAGAGAAAATTAGAAAATGCTGATAAATTGAATGCTCACTGGCATACAGTAGATGTTTAATACAAATTAATTCATTTTCCAGTCACGGATTTCCAAATCTCTTTTGTTTAAGGATTGTGGACTCTTGCAAGATTTACAGTGATATGGTGACTCCAAAGGCTGGGAACAAAAGCATTTGCTCAGATTTTTAGTTTTAACAACAGTCAATTCTACCAACGCCCATCATGGCTAAAAGTGCAGAGGTCAAACTGGCAATATTTGGGAGAGCAGGCGTGGGGAAGTCAGGTAAGATTTCTGTTGGGGTTGTTGTAGAGTGTGTGTGGGTATGTGTTGGTTGCTGCCTCTTGGGATTGGGCAGGTGAGCGGTTGGCGTTTCTCGTTCTCGTTTGTTGTTCTCTTAGTTAAAATTTCCTTTCTTGGGAACTTTCATTTTGCATAACCTACTGTTATGTACCCTGTTGCTTATTTCTGGTAAAGTAGCTTTGTTGATATTGCACAAGGCAATATTAATATATTCTTAATATTCTGAGGGATGTTAACCTCCAAAGAAATCAGATTGTGGAAATTTAAAAATTATATTCTATGTCAAGTATATATTGGGTGCTTAATAAGTTCTTGTTGAATGAATATGTTGATACCAGAAACAGAATGGCATTATTGTCCAATAATTGTAAAACTAGAAGAGGACTCTTGAAAATTAGGAGTGCATACTCTCAATGCAAGACAGCTGTTGCCAATGCCTTGGTGAATTTAAATTTTCAAATTATGGCTAACATCAATAATTCGGAGAGGTTTAGACTACCCACCTAAGAAAAAGTTTTCACACCTATAAGATTCAGCATGGAATGGTGGAAGTGAAAAATGCACCTAATATCCAGTTTGTAAATAATATTTTCGATTTCATAATAGAAGCATGCTGAAGGAGATGTTGCTAACATATCAGAGTAACGTGGTTTGTCTGTTACAAGCCCTGGTCTCTCAACCATAAGTGGCTTTGCACACAGAACTTTTGGGTCTTGGTAAAGTAAACAAACAGGTATCTCGTGGTGTGTGTTTGTGGAGGGAAACCTGCTTAGAAGTAAACTGTGTAATCCAATCTACCTGGTAATCCACATGATCTTAAACACAGAAAAACCTTTTAATTTTATGACCAATCTCTTTCTTCATCACCTCTCTGGCTTAATTTCAGCAGTCATCTATTCTAAGTCTTCTTCTCTATTTTTCTTTCCATTTTTCAAGTCCTCTTTGCTGCCACCGTACTTTTCTTCTGAGTGCTGCTTGCTTGCTTTTGCCTCTGGCGGAATCTAGGTAGGGAAACTAAGTAGCTGCCAAAGTTAAGACACCGCCAACCTTCATGAGGAGCTTGAAGGTGGTTAAACTCCTCCCCATTAATTTCCCTGATGTTTTCTGATGGCGTGAGAACCTCTTTTGTGTGGCTGGCAGAAGGAACTGGAGGATGAGGAAGCTTGGAGGGAGAGGCCAGTGAAGGGCAGGCTGTGTGGGAGGCCTGTGGGGCCCATAATATCTCGTCTCAGCCCTTGTGAGTGTAGGTTAGGCCTAGGCCTGGCCGTTCATTATTTATTCCTTCAGTACTTACCATAAGTAATAAGGGAAGGAGATTTTTTTTTTTAAAAAAGTCTTACATCATTTATTAAAATACACTCCACATGGTTAAAAAGTTAAACAAAATTTAAAACTCCTCAGAGAACCACTTGGCTCTCTTTCTATATATCCGTGTCTTTCCCATCTTCCCCCCTCAGAGCAAGCTGGTCCCTCATACTTTGTCTTATCCAGCCTGAGCTATGAACTCAGTTTCCTATGTTTTCCCCCCACAGTGATCCAATTAGTTTCCCATTCTCTCCTGCCCAGTTTCCCTCACGTATATCTGTGTGCACTGTACCATCTTCGTCTTTTCTTCAAACTTATGGAATATTGGCTCTGGCCTTTCTCTCTTAACTTTTCCAAATCTCCTAATTTTTGCGTAAAGTATACTAATCTTCCATTATAACCATGGTACTGAAATTGCTTTTGCTGAGGTCACCCCCGATTAATGCCTAGGAAACTGAATGAATAGCTTCTGGTCTGATCTTCTTAGATCTCTTCTTGCTACTCAACACAACCCTTCTTCTTTCTTAAATTGTCCTATGTGATGGTTAATGTGGGGTCTCAACTTGATTGGCTTGGGAGCTCCCCAGAGGATTAGTAAGACACTTCTGGGTATGTCTGGGTGGGTCATGGAGGTGTGCCCCTGGGTGCATCTCTGGTCCCAGCCCCTCTTCTCTGGCACTCTTTCCCTGCTCTGCTTCTCAGTTGCTATGAACTGAGTGCCTTTGCTCTGTCCCACCCGCCCAGCATGATCCTGCCTTGGAGCCAGTGAGGATCATGGACTGAATGCCCTGTAACTGGGAGGCAAAATTAGCTTCTCCACCTTTAAGTTGTGGCTGTCAGATAGTTTCCTCAGCAATGGAAAAGTTGACCACTCCACCTTCCTTCCCAGGGTCTCACATCTCTTGGCTTTCCAGCTACTTTGCTATTGCCTTTAAGCAGCTACCTTCATGGGCTGCTCTTCCCATTATCTCTCAAAAGCTGGGGCTTCCAGGGCTCTGGACAGCCTTTTCTTGTCTTCTTTCTCCATGCACTCTCCATAAGGTGCTGCCTTACGTCACAAGTCCAAGGTCATCGCTGCAGCTTCTGCAGATGTTCAGCTTGTCACAAAGGCCTTACCAACTCTAAAATCCTGACTCAGTAACTGTGTCTTCTTTGTACTGCTTTCTCTTTCCACCTTGTTTTCGGCATTCTACCACTATCACTTATTTTCATTTAGGTGAAAACAACCAGGATAGACTACATGCCTTTAACAATTGCCATTTTGTATGTCATCTACAGACAGACATTGTTTTTCTATTCCAGCATTGGACTGTTTTCTTGAGACCTGCAGCCACACCTCACATTTAAAAAGTAGCATCTCTTTGACGTATGCATGGGAAGTAATTCTGAGACCTTTTCCCATAGTTCAGTGAAAACAACTGGAGACAATTTCTTATTTATCAATTTTGACAATTGACTGTTGCTGTACTGAACTCATGTTTATTCTAATTCATTTATAATTTAGCTGTATCTTGTCTCTGCTTAGTCATCATGCCACACATTCATCTTTTTACTGTACAGACTGTATCAGCCTTATAAGTAACTTTTGCTTTTTTAAGTCTGCAAGAAATTGTACTTGCTGGAATAAACTGCCACCCTTAACTCAGGTGCTTCTCAAGACCGGCCATGAGGGTCCCACTACACAATCTTATTTCTCTCAAACTGCATGGGAAGCACCCCAGGGAGCCAGGTTGAGATTTTGGGCTGCTAGAAACTGAGGATCTCTGACTGACTTGGGTTTGTGTCAGTTGTGTCAGAGTTCTTAAGTCTCACTTGTTCTCTCATCTCGCTCACACTCAGTACCAACTTGATGTGTGGGGTCCATAGGACTGTATTTCCCATTTGTTGATTACGGGTAGAATAGCCTGGAGCTTTAATAACTGTCTGAACTTGGCAACTTGTAGCATGTTGCCTCTCAATTTCTTTAGTTATAAAAATCATACAGTAGTGCCTATCTCAGTTATAAGGATTGAATAAGTTACAACATGCAAATGTTTTACAACCTAGCCCATAACCAATGCTCAAGTATTAACTTATTATACTATTTCAAAGTATGCATCTTTGAATTTGTAAGTTCTCTAGTGAAAATATGTAAGCAAAGACATATTCATGTGACTATTTTTTTTGCACATTATTAAATTCTTTTATTGGTACATTGTAGGTATACAACACAATTACATTTCTCATTGGGAATTGTACCTTTACGTAATGCATCTTGGTTCTTATTTTTTCCCCATTCCTAGCCCTCCCTTCACCCCCTCCACCCTTCCCTATTTAC